TAAAAATTATTTAAAATAATTATAAAATCGTATCATAAATAATTGTAATCGTAAATTACCTCTCTGGAGATATTGATTTGAATTCATCTGCATTGTCTGGATTAGTTTGTATCCGTAGATTAGCTATTAGTCCAAAAGGAAAATAAAAGCTTTTAATTAAATATTCAAAATGTGACTTAAAAAAACAAATTCCTGTAAAAACAATCCGATATGTATAAAAATGTGTAAAAAAAAAAAAACAGACCTGTCAATACAAACGAACCAACAGTAGAGATAAATCCTGCTAAGAAAGCATTGTATGGAAAAGTTCCAACAAGTACGCAATGTACAAATTGAAAAACACCAGAAAAGAGAATGAAAACTAAATAAGCATCAATAAGTTTAAGACTTTGTGATGTATTCTTTGAATAGGATGTCCATAATTTTTGAACTGCTCCTGAAACTTGATCTGACATTTTTTAAAATTTATTTTTAAATTTTTTTTAGAAACGCAAATTATATACTCAAATTTTATTGGGAATAAACCAATAAAATTATCCCACGTTTAACTAATTTAACTGGATGATCTTTGGTGTTACATTTACTGTTTAATTTCTTTACTGTACAGTACGTAGCGAAAAGTCAATATTTTTACTTAAAGAAAATGAGCACATACTCTAATATTTCTAAGTGCACCCCCTCGGGGAATCATAATAATAAAGGAAAAAAGTACTTGAAGAGAGCGTATTGTAGAAATCAAAATACAACTTATACGTATAGCTACGTATAATAAGCACATATCGATATTCAGAGCATGGATTTATAAATTAATTCTCTTGTTAAATGGTCAAACATATGTAAATCTTTTTCTTAGCATGTTAGTTTCGTATAAATAGCTTCATAAAACGAGTCTATCGCTACAAAAATTCTTTGTACTAAATCTGGAGCACTGAACTTTTTCTTTTAATGATGTTATCTTTTACCGTTACTGTATATTATTTCTTTTTAGAGTTAGATAGATCTGTACAATATGTTACACGCATTAAGGTAATCTTTTACGTTTATAAATAATTCTCTACCGAGAATATGTCTAAAAATTAAAAATTCTAAATATTCAATACTTTCCTTTATAATTTTCAAGTTTCTCGCAAAAAAAATAAAAATAAAAATAAAAAAAAATATGAAACAAGTACCACCAACTATTGAAATATTGCGTAGGTTACTGGTTCATTCTGATGGTCGAGATAAAACTTTAAAAATTATTCAATATTTTGGAAAGATTATTCTTTGGCTTCAAGCTCGTAAAACATCATCCAAATCTTCAAAATATGATCATTTCATTAATTCTGTTTTATATATACTTATTAGAGACAGAAATGTTACACCTCGTTTAAAAGCTATGACATCTCATTTTAGTACAACTCGTAAAATAATTCGTTTAGCACATTTTTTAGAACCTTATTCTGATTTATGTGAATATTATATTGGTGCACGTAGAATTTCTTATTCATCAACTTCATATGAAAAATTTGTTTATTATCTTGGTGTAGTAAATGCTTTTTTGGGTTTATGGAATGATATATTTGATGATTTATATTGTCTCGGTAAAATTGATATATTAGATAAATCTATTGCTAAATGGGCTGAACCTATTGCGATTAAACTTTGGTTTTTCAGTATTTGTTTGGATATTCACGAAACTTCATTTAAAATCTGGCAAACAAGCAAGAAAATTAAAAAGGTTAATGATAATGATGATGAATTAAACAATGTTAAATTGAAATTATATTGGTTGAATATTAGTTTAGCTAAATTACTTATGGACTTTTTGTTCTGTGGTATGTATTTAATTTGACATAAGGTATTTAAAATTTTATTGTAACTAATGGTTGTTGCTAAAAAAAAATGTCTTTTTTTTGGTCTATTAAAGGATACGATTTCTTTGGACTTGATTTCTCAGATAGCGTGCAAGCGTTTTCTGGTTTTCTTGCTGGAATTCTAAGTAAGTTTAATATATCTTTATTATGGTTCAATGTGAGACTCTTTTTTTTTTTTTTTTTTATTACTCTTAACAATAATCTCATCTTTGTTCATTAGGTTTTCATAAACTTTGGGTGAAGGAAACACAAAGAATCATGATGAAAACTTAATTATAAAAATATTTCCAATTAAAAATATATTATTAAATTATGAAAATATATTATGTATACTAATTAGGTCATATAATTGAATTTTTAAATAAGAATTTAAAAAAAGAAAGCGTTTTCAAATTTGTATTTTTTTTTTTAATAGAATTAGAATAATGAGAATAATATATATTTATTACATCATCATTAAAATATTGTATTTTTAAAAAAATATGTTAACGGGAATGATGTTTATTTTGTAAAATTATCGCTAACACTAATCAGTAAAAAAACCAAATTTTCGGCAATGCTTGTTTTAACGAAAAATAACACCCCCCTTATTTTCACTACGGATATTCACTAAAATATAAATTCGATATGAAATGAAAAAAAATATATTTTATTATAAATTACCGGTTAATAGGCCTGGTGTCTCGATCCCCGGTGTATATAATATCTGATATAGGGGTTTTACATTGAGATTTATAAACGAAAATACTGTATTTTATCGAACGAATAAAAGAAATTCATCCGGTTACTAATAATTTCTTTAGATCGTCTTTTCATATAGTGATAACTTCATATTTCTTTCTTTTTGATACCAATGGTTAATATCTCTTGATACTCTATAACAATTACCTACATCTATTATTGCTTGTTCAATATCCATTTTAGCAGATTTAATAATATATTTGAATGCTTTTTTTTTTTTTATCTACCTTCTAAATAGTTAGAACTACTGTAGTAACACGATGTACTGTACTACATATATACTGTATATACATAACGAAATTCTCAATTTCTTAATTTATCATACTCTATCATCGTTCACAATGTATTTTTCAGATATATCTAGTAAAAAACTATTTATTTTTTTTATATTAATATTTATACTCGTTATATATTTATTATTCACATATTTAATATCTGACTATTTAAAATTTGAACCTCAATTCGATACAAATTTAATTAATTCAAATGATTTGGACATTTTAAATCTCTCTAATTCTGATTGCACTAATAATGAAATTAATAATGAACGTTACTTGGCTTATCTTCCACATGGTTCTTTTCATGAGCAACGTATTAGTTTGGAAAATGCTATATTTTTATCTTGGGTAACAAATCGTACATTATTAATTCCTTCAATAATATTTGGTCAACAATTATTATCTTATGATTCATTTAAAAATTTATCTGAAATATTGATAAATTTAAAGAATTATAATGAAACAAATATTAAATGTGAATGGGATTCTAAACATAATCTATGCATAAAAAAAATACAAAAGGATTTTTATACTTTTGTAAAATGGGAATTTTTAATAGATATGGAATTTTCACAAAAAAAAATTCGAATAATAAATAGAGAAACTTATGATCTTAAAAATTTATTCTTATTTTTAAATATTACTGATCCAAAAAATGAATTTTATTTATTGGATGATGAAGAAATTTATAACCACCAGTTTTATGATGATATTGATGAAAAATCTCCATCTGATACAAGATATAAGAACATGATTCATTTATGTTCTCTACAACGAAGAAATGAAACTTTATTACATTTTGGATCATTATTTGATAATAATCGACTCAACTTGAAATTGAATGATAATAAGGAATTTTTGCAAAATATTCAAAATAGTTTAATAATTAATCATCCAGTATTGCTTGAAAAAGGAGAAGAAATTAGTATACAGTTAGGTGGTTTGGCAAGTTACATTGGGGTTCACATCGAATTGACTGATTATATAATGGAGAACAAAGAAGGAAAATTTATTAATGATGTAATTAAGAAATTAAAAAATCAATTCGGTATACCGGTAATTACCAGTAATACGTCAGATCGAATAGAACTGGTATCAAGAGATTTTCAACCAACTTTGACACTAATGTTAGCTGAAGAATGCATACAGAATAGCCCACCATAAAAAAGAAATTATCCAATAATTTACCTTGCAACAAATTCTTCGAAATCAAACCCAAAATTGACAGAATTCTTTGAAGAATTTCCTTGTGTATTTATGTTGTCTAATTTTACAGATTGGACCAATACATTAAAATCTATTTTAAATCCAATAGATAATGTTAGTTTATACGAATTCCTTGTACCATTGATTGATACTGTTGTAGTAGCAAAAAGCGGTGAATTTTTTGGTGAAAAAGAAAATTTAGATAGTAACTATATACAAAGATTACATGATTATTGGGTCGGAGCATAATAATTAGATCTCGTCTCTGATTGGCTGATATTGATTTACATACATGTTTTTCATTTTTATCAAAAAAAAAAAAAAAAAAAATGTTTTTTTCGTTGACGCAGAGAATTTGTCCGATAGTCTCTCAAATACAAAAAATTCGTCATCCTTTCTTTTTAAAAACTTCTACGTCTACTACTTTTCTTTCTGGATTAAATTCTCAAAGGTACTAAATTAATTAGTACAAAAAAAATTTAGATGTATTAAATTTTTTTTAATCAAAAAAAAAAAAAAAAAAAAAAAAAAAAGAATTCTACCACAATATGTCGTTCCTACAAGCACTCTTTGGCCTTCACAAATTCGATTCAAAGCTTATGGTAGAGAATACCAACCGAGTAATCTTATAAGAAAACGGAGAAATGGTTTTTTGGCTAGATTAAGGCGTAAATCCGGGAGAAGAATTTTAGCTCGAAGACGTTTAAAAGGTAGAAAGTATTTATCACATTAAAGAAAATATTTTTTTTAGTATTCTGATATGAAGGTTTGTATGGGATCCGTTTGTTATTATTGTGTTGAATATTACATTTAATTATTATCATTGATTTACTTTTTTGGTTG